TTAGGATAATAGAATGAGACACAAGCAAAACCTATGCATCGAGTCAAGAAGTTCCAGCATTCAACATCCTAAACTGGAAACAATGTATTAAAAACACATCTCATCAGCCTAATAAATGATGAAGGGGTGTGAGGCTGGTCAACAGATAGAATCTGTTTACCCCTTAACTCTTTGCCACCCCCTAACACCCCCTGCTTTGGGGCTCAACCAAGAGCAGAGGGTGTTTTATGTCAGAGTCGGCATCTCCTAGCCTTTGTCTAAAAAGGCGTATCCTACAAGGCAGCAGGTCATGAAGCAGATTGTACTGGGTTACATGTGACCAATAGCAGGATAACCTGACCTGACATATTTCTTTGTTTTTGAATTGTTTTTTATTTTGTCTTTTTGTTGTTGTTTTTTTGTACATACATTGTTGTCATTTAAATTTTAAAAATTTAAATAATGCTTTAATTTATATTACTAAGACCTTTCAAATATTTTTTTGTTGTCATTTTAAAAAAAAAGACTTTAATTTTGAATTTCTTTGTACTGAGTCCCATTTTAGTCCGAGTTAGCGTAAATATTTTCAATTTATAACAAATTTTTTGTTTGTTTATCATAAAAATAAGTTTTAATGATAAACTGCAATAATTTAGATCTTCCTATATTAATGAAAAATACATATGAAACCGATTGAAAATCTAAAAATATTTCAAAATGAAAAAAATTTATGTAGTTTTGGGACACCCTAAAGGCTGGATAACAACCTTTCAAGTTTTTTTTATTGTTTATACGAAGAGGGTAAAAGTAAAAATCTATGTGTTACGTTATGATGCCTATGTTAAGGCATATTCACAAAAAAAGAAACAAGATTGTCAAAAGGAATTTATTAAGATTTGGAACAAGATGAAATCTGAAGTTAATCTTTCACTAATAGTTGATTTCCTGTTTTAATTTCCTGTTGAGAGAGTTAATTTTGTTTTCTATAATATACTTTAATTAGAGTTAATTTTGTTATACTAATAAATTAAATACTAAACTTTTTATTTAGTATATTAAAGAAACATTATCCAAAATAATAAGATTAACTTAATTTATCAAAAATTGGATAGTTGTGCTTCATCAAGAAGGATATAGTTATCAACAGATTGCAGAAATAACACAAACTCTTGTAAAGGATTCAGATATTATGTAACAAAATGAAGTAGTTATCAAATGACAAAGGTGGAAAGATAAAAGTAGAGTTCCTATTACAGATGTTTTAGCACAACTAAATACTCTAAATATCAGTCAGCAAGATGCTATCAATATTTTAAGCAAGAGATTAAACATTAAATTTTAAAATATTCAACAAAAAACTATTAAAATAAATTTTCTGTAGTTGAGATTTTATTTTGTTTAAAATACAATGATAAAACTCATTTATTTCTATGCTAACTTTGAAAATATAAGTCTTTAATGCAAGGGTATGTCTATTTTAAGTTTACCTTTTGAATTTTTTAAAATGTTTTAGAGATATTAATTATATAATAAAGTTTCTGCCAAAAATAGACCTAGTTAGAGGTCTAACATCTAAAATTATAAATCTAATATCTACAATTATAAAATAGACCTAGTTAGAATCTAACATCTACAATTATAAATCAAATGCTACAAAATTATTCAGAATTTTTTTTTTTTTTTTTTTATTTTTTTTTATTTTAATTCACCTCCTCAAGGCCAAGAAGGCCACTACAGACGAGGAGGCTACTTATTTGTGGCTATAACCCTCTCTCAACTCTATAACTCTGAAACACGAACCTTGACGAACAAGGCAGCTGTGCAGAGAAACGAGTTGAGCGCGGTACTACCAGGGACGTGGTGGGGAACGAACTCGGAACCACTCGTTTATGAAGCGAGCACTCTACCTCTACACCACTACCACAAATGATATCTAAGATGAATATTTTCATAAAATAACATAATTTTTATGTGTTGTTTTATGAAAATCTTTAATACTGAAAAAACAATAAAATTTTTATTTTAAGATAATCTGTTTTTTGTTTACATGGCTTTTAAAGTAGAGTCTTTTGAAAATGACAATAAACTGCCCAAGTAAAAAATAGATCAAGTCTTTGATTTTTGAAACAACAAAAACTTTAGAAAGCTTGGAGATATTAAGCTAATTTATCGAGAAAATTTGACAAAATTTTTTTCACATTTATACAAATTTACAACTAATCCATTTTTTAAATTGTGTTAGCAGCGTACCCAAAAGTTATTGTACAACACGTGCATTACAATTGAACCATATTCAAATATTCTGACAGCTTTAAGCAACAAATATTAATTAATAGCAACTTGGTAGAAAAATAATTTTAATATGATATTTAACTTTTCATTGTCTGTTAACTAAAAGTCTGAAATGTTTTAATACTTAAATAACTTTTTTTTATACTTTAATCCTTAAGTCCAAGCAGCAGTTGAAAAACAAGGTAGCTGGGCGGAGAAAAAAATTGAGCGCTGTACTACCAGGGACGTGGTGGGGATCAAACTCGGAACCTCTCGCTTATGAAGGGAGCACTCTACCACTACACCACTACCACTAAACTTTTATTCTACAGACAAAGTTCCTTTTATACTTAAGCCAAATGTCACACACATATTTACATATTTTAAACACTTTCATGAAAAAGAAGTATATTTCAAGTCTATTTCAAAAAGTTCATTATTGATTATAAAAATTAAAAGCATTAAATTAAAAATCATAAATGCAAAGGGTGAAAAACCTAACTTAAATAAAGAAGCACAAAATTATCTTGCTTCTTTAGTTATAAATTTTTTTTTTACTTCAATTTCATATGTATGAAATGATGTACATCTAGTTTTTAAGTCTTTTATACATTATTAGTATTTTTATTTAACAATTTTTTAATTGTTTGTAGTGTATCAACCAGTTTATTAATAAGCTAAATTCCTTGATAACGTTTCTAAGAAAAACAAAAAATATCAGCAGAAAGTTAAAAAGTCATATTTATTATAAAGATATTTCTAAAGAAAAAAATTCAGCTTTAATTAAAGCAATGATTATATTAATTAGTAATGCATGTATTTAATATTTCACTTTAAAGTAAATATTGTAATGATCAAATAAAAAGTTTTGGTTTTTATTTAACTTATTTTAAACATATTGCAATATATACTGAACCTCTAAATATATATAAATTTTTTCATATTAAAAATAATTTATAAAATATTACTCTCAAGTTAGTGACAAAATATTTGTTTTTTCATTGCATCCTTCAAATGCTATGAAAAAACAAAAATATTATAATAACTCAACCAGACAAAGGTGATGGCGTTATTATATTAGACCAAAATCTGTATTTTGAAAAAATTTATGAAATTGTTAAAGATACCACTAAACTCAAAAAGATTCCTAAAGATCCTACTGTACTCAGAGAAGGACAACTGAAAAGATTCCTTTGCAAAATTTAAAAAAAAATGTATTTAATGCCGAGAAATATAAAAATATTTATCCTACTGGTTCAATAATTGCTAGAATGTATGGAAAACCTAAAATGCATAAATTAACCGCTAATAATAGCATTCCTTCCTTCAGACCTATAGTTTCCCCATTAGGAACATACAACTACAAATTATCTAAATTTTTAAGTAATTTACTTACTCCATACATTCCAATGAATCATTGCACCAAAGATAGCTTCACATTTGTTAATAAACTTAAAGAAGTAAGAGTAGCTAACTCTTACCTAGTCTCCTTTGATGTGGAAAGTTTGTTTACAAATATACCATTGGATAAAACCATTTCAACTGTTGTGGATTTAATCTTAAAAAATAGACCAAACCTTAATACTTCCAAACTTGAATTAAAAAAACTATTTGAATTTTCAACCATGAAAACACATTTTCTATTTAACGATGAAATATTTGATCAGATCGATGGAGTTGCCATGGGATCTCCGCTAGCTACTGCTTTAGCTAACTTATTTACGAGTCATCACAAAAAACATTTGGTTACAAAACAATAATTGCAAAAAAGTAGTTTTATACAAAAGGTATATAGATGATATCTTTTGTATCTTTGAAAATAAGGATGATGCACTCATTTTTTTAAAATATATAAATAAACAACATCCAAATCTCAAATTTACTAAAGAGGAAGAAGTTGATCACAAATTGAACTTTCTTGATATAATGATTAACTCTGTAAATAGTAAATTTGATACTTCAACATTTTATAAAAAAAACTTGATTAATTTTACTAGCTCCACTAATATTAATTATAAACTAGGACTCATTAAAACTCTGATTGACATGGCCTTCAAAATCAACAACAACTGGGTAAGTTTTCATCTAGATATTGTAAAAATAAAACAAACTCTCCAAAAAAAAACTCTTTCTCCTTGAACTTAATTGACAAAACCTTAAAAATTTTACTAAACAACTTTATCTCTCCTAAAGAAAACATGTCATCTTTAAAACCACCTGATTTACATTACTTTAAACTTCCTTAAGTTGGACAAATTTCAAATACAATTTAACACCAATTAAATAAATATACTAAAAAATATTGTAAAGATAATATAAAAAAAGACTAGTTTTTACTCCTTTTAAAATAAGTAGTACGTTTTCATCAAAAGACCCCTTACCCTCAAATTTAAATTCCTTTGTTGTCTATAAATTTGTTTGTTTCAGCTGTAATGCTGGATACATTGGTGAAACAACTAGACACTACACAACAAGGATTTCAGAACACTTAAATTCAGGTAAGACTTTCCATATTTACAAACATCTCAACTCATCACAAAAATTCAACAAATCTTTATTGCTTGTAAATATATATATATGTATGTATGTATGTATATATATATATATATATATATATATATATATATATATATATATATATATATATATATATATATATATATATATATATATATATATATATATATATATATATATATATATATATATAATCAAAGACAAATTTGATTTAATTTTTATATTGTACCCACCTGGATCTTGTGGAACAATAACTGTGGATACTTTATTCATAAAACAGAGATAATAAACCAATACAATAACAGTAACCGATGTCATTTCTCTTTTTAATTATAAATTATTTATAAACATAAATAATATAATTCAGTATGCACAAACAACTTTTAATGTTTTTTAAAAAGATAATCATTTTTAACTTTTAATTTTAAACAAAGCTATCAAATTCATGCTTAATTTGATAAATTTATCAATGTCAATCCAAATAAGCAATTTTTAGTTTAAAAAAATATATATAAAAAATCCGTCGGAGGGATTATCGACGTTTTTCCCTAGTTTTTCCCATTAAATAACACACGTGATGGTTATTGCAAATTACGTGATAGTTTACTAAATTCGAAAGTATACTAATTTTTTTTAAATCTAATTTTTGTTTTTATGAAAAATTTAAAACCTTATTCCACCATGTAAAAACTATAAGATTTCTCTATTCCAACAATTTAATTTAAAATGACGCAAAATAAAATCAATGTCAAAGTTAATAAAAATTAATCAAACAAAAGATAGTATTTAAAAGATAAGTATTTAAAGGCAATTTTTAATTAAATTATGCCATATGTTTATAAAGTATTTAATCCATTGCAGCGTTGTTTAGTGCGTTTTATATTAAACCTTAATCCTTGCTTTTAAATTTGATTAATGCACGATAAGCCATCAATGCTTTTTTCAAAAGATTTAAAAATTTCGGATAGGGGAGAACTTGCACCCTTGATCCGTATGCACCTTTGATTCTATAGCGTTATCTTCATACTTACATGACTTATTGAAGAGGGCTAATAACCAGCGTGATATAAATATTAAACCTACTAAATTAATTGTGTTTTGATAACAGAATAGACCATTATTAAATTTATTTCTAAAAAGTTTGATTTTGTCAGCAAAAAGTCATTTTTTTATTTTTAAAAGGCCTTACGTCTTTAATTTATTTTTGATTTGAGTAATTGTATTAATATCATTTTGTAACTTAACTATTCACTTCTTGGATGGTTGCTTTTGGGAAGCTATAGAAACATCTATTATGAAAAAAAAGAATTTTTGTAAAAATAGAACCTTGATCCTAATTCGTTTATGCCCCTTTGGTCCCATGAACAATGGTGCATACGCACACGCACACACGCACACAAAATATAAATAAAATGTATAAGCAATAAAATAACATGAAAACTTCTGTACAACATATCATTCTGCTTTTGAATAGTTTTTTTTCCAAAACATAGCCTTAATAAAGATTTTATACGTTGATTAATTAATGTATAAAATCTTTATTTTTATTACGTAATGTGTTGATTAATTACAATCGGTATAAAAATTTAGAAAACATGTGGAAATAAACTTCAAAATAATGAACCATAATATAACGATTAAGCATCGAAATGGTCAGTGTGGAATAGACATACCATAACCCGTATAATACGGGTATTGGTAAGTCTATTCCATACCGATCATTTCCATACTTAATCGTTATATAGTCGTTTTATTTCAACAATTTTCAGTAAGTGGTAAAAATCAAAATCTGTCAAATCTATATGGTAAACAATATCTTGCACTCCCATATATATATATATATATATATATATATATATATATATATATATATATATATATATATATATATATATATATATATATATATATATATATATATATATATATATATATATATTATAATCCATTTATAATTTGATGAAGAGGTGCTACACCAGGCCCCTCTATGCTGACGAACATGGAGATACAGACGCTACAGACAAAGCAGCAGGTGTATCTATAAAGTTACTTTCTTATGTTATTTTTGAAAGCGTTGATGGATTGAGCGTTCACTGCTTCTTGCAAAAGCGCATTCTTTGGGGCGACAATTCTGTTTGGAAAAAAGTTATATCGCTTCTCACAGTTCTTTACCATCTGACGATCTAGTTTATGGTTATAACTTTTTAGAATATACTTATCTTTACTTTTTAAAAATCTTTGCAGGACGACAAAACTGACAAGCTCAAGTTTACGAGTGATTTTGAATTGCTCGACAAGATCTGCTCTTTTGAGGCGTTCTTCAAGAGTTGTTAAACCGAGCCGTTGGAGTCGATCTTCATAGAACAGGTGTTTAATAGTCGATGTTGTTTTTGTTGCTCGTTGTTAGACTTGCTTGAGAATGGTAATGTCTGATTTTAAATGTGGTGACCAGGCTTGTACAGCAAACTCAAGATGAGGGCGAATGTAAGTGAGATACAGAGTGCGCCATAAATAAAAACTGCGACTGCGAAATGTTTTTTTTTGAGTCGTCCTAGCTATCTATTTGCTACTGATGCGGCTGACTCTATATGCGGTCTAACTTTAAGATCATTCGAGACCATCACACCAAGGTCTCTTTTGACTGCGGTTTTTTCGAGAGGACGACGGGTGCCGTTGACGTTAGACATTGAGTATTTGTACGTCGACTTGTTACATCCGCGCCCAACATGCATTACTTTGCATTTCTCAACGTTGAAATGCAAGAGCCAAATGTGTGACCATTCCACTGCTCTGTCAACGTCACCTTGGAAAGTGATGCTGTCCGACTCCTTTTTAATTATCCCTATTATTTTGCTGTCATCGGTAAACAGTTTCATATGATGAGTAATTGTGAGCGAGACTGGCCGGTAGTTGGATGCTTTTAGCCTACTTCCCTTCTTGAAAATAGGTGTTACATTCAATTTTTTCCACAATTCAGGAACTACACCAGTTGCAAACGAGCATTTATAGATAAGCGAAAGAGGCTTGGCAAAGGTAGATGAACATTTACTGAGGACCCGTGGATGTAAGCCATCGTAGCCGGTTGACTTTCTTTCATCAAGACTGTTTAGGCATTTTTGTACTATGTCAATAGAAAAAATTGCTGGATCGATGACACAAACTGTTTCTGTACGACTTTCAAAGCCTGGCATTGAACCTTCGGGCTCTAAAACAAAGACTGATTGAAAATAGTTATTTAACGATGCGCATATATCACCGGTATCGGTTGTGATGTTGCTATTGACTGTTTCAAGCGATGTAATGTTGTTACTGACGCTCTGCTTGCTTCTTATATATGCATGTAAGTTCTGGTGTTACGCATTGCTCCTGTTTTTCTGTAAAGGGAGTGGTAGTTGACGGAATATGTAAGTTAGTGGCTTCATTGTACACGTTTGCTAGAAGTTGAGAATCTTCGTTTGCATTTAGTCCAGTGAGTACTGTTTCCCAGTCAACAGCTGCAATATGTGCTGACATTGCTGCGTAGTTTGCTCTACTCCAAATGAGTGGAGGTTTTAGCGGCAAAGTTGGCGAATTATTGAGACATTCAATAGCAAATTGGCCTTCAATGAAGCAGTGTGCTTGGCCCATTGCAGTGTCACCTTGAGAATCACCTTGTTTCATGAAGACTACATGGTCTGGCTCATTTGTTATAATAAAGTTGAGTGTGCTAGTAGGCTCGACGTGTTGACTACTACAGTAGGTTGGAAATGTGATAAGCTGAGTTAAGTGACATTCATCAAGACACTTCTGGAACCTGATGTCGCCTTGACGTTCACCTCTCACGTGAGCAACAGTTGCAATGCCACCGTTAACTTCGATAGGCTCATAAGATGTAAGGCTAAAATTGAAATCGCCATACAGTATCATTGCAGAGCAGTTTATTTTAGGGAGTATTTGTTGCGCGGTAGTGATCGATGTGATACACTGAGTAAGATTTTGATCATTTTCGTCGTGTGGACGATATAAGCAGCCAAGGAGAAATGATTCTTGACCAAGTTTTATTTTTCGCCAGATTTGCTCAATTGATGTTAATTTGAGCTGAGTAGAACTAACTTCGCTGACTATGATATCGTCTCTTATGTAAATTGCAACTCCACCGCCCCTATTGTCTCTGTCTTTGCGATGTGGTTGGTAGCCGGGTACGGCAACGCCTGATAAATCTGTGAACCAAGTTTCCGCAAGAAAAATGACGTGTGGCCGGCTGAGTTTATGTAGAGCTGATAGTCTAGCAAAGAGCTCTTGGCGTTTTTCATTGTTGAGTGAACAAGGGTTGTTTGCTCAGTAACATAGATGGCTAGGTGAAACTGTAGAAGTGTTGGATTGCATCGGTTTTATTTTTGCTTTAGTTACTGGTCTAGGACGTCTAGTTGGCAGTGGAGATTTCTGAGTTAGAAGCGGCTGTGCGGCTAGCGTAGTCTGACAGAGCTCTGGCTGGGGATGAAAACACGTAGCACTGATTGGACGTTGATTCGATGACGTCGATGCAACAGATGCGGCCTGTTCTTCGATGTATAACATTCCGAAACGAATTATCGAGAATGTTAGCAGCGGCAAGTTGGTCGTTAAGCTTTTTGAGTTGGGTGCGTGTGGTGTTAAACTCGGTTTGTTGCTCTGGCGTTCTGTCTTCGCGTACGTAGACACCCTTGTATATCTCTTGTTTGTGGTGTGCGCATTTTTTGAGTATTTCCGCTCGAGATGAAAGGTTTGATTACGAAACCTGGATAATATTCGAGTTTGACAATTTTGTTTTGTTTTTGCTCGAGTTGAGGCGGTTAACACGTGCGATACCAGTAGCATCCTCCAATCCTGTTGCTACAAAAAAATCTTCAACAAGCTTTTTATCGTCTACAGTAATAGACTTATTAAGACCGACTACAATGACATTTAACTCACGAGTTCGAATATTTTTATTTTGAGCAGCGGTAAAAGTGCTTAACTGCTTAAAGTGTCGTTGCTGTTTGCTCTCATCCGATTTGTCCTTAAGCAAAGATGCAAATGATGGTGTGGCTGTTGGTTTTATTTCTTTCAACTCATTAATTTGTTTTACCAGTAAAACAATAATGTCTTTCAGGACTTTTTCTCTTAATTCACAAGATCGTTTCTCTTTCGTGCAACAAGGTGCGATCATAAGAGCAATATCGTAATTTTTCATGAGAGTAGCATTTAAATCCTTTAGATCTACTGCCGCTTTAAAAGCGTTGGTAGCTATTTCTTCGATTGCTGACATAAAAGGGCTTAAGCTTAAGCTTAAGTATAAGCTTAAGGCTTAAGTATAAAAATTAATTTATTGAATTAGAAACAAAAAAATAATTGTGTCCATAGTAATAAACAAAACATAAAAGAAAAAATGTTAGAAAAATAGGACAGCTTCAAAATTGGAGGGTAGCCCCAGACACAAAGTTAACCATAATTTTACCTCTTTTTTATTCGTGTGACAC